GATTCAACAAAAATGTAGGTCTCGAGCGGGTGCTTTAAGCCTCGTTATGAGGGAGCACAATAGATTTTTTCGGGAACGATGCATCTTTGCCCCATTCAGATGGCTGAATCTACAAATTATCATTGCAGTTTTTGTTAATTTTGGTAAAGCTATTAAGTTTCAAGCGGGCTATGTTAAATAAAATAAAGGTGTTGTTATTTTTTTATAATGAAATTTCCTTATAATTGATTTATGGAATTATTCTTCTTCTAAATTAAATTACTTTTGGTTCCTTAAATGTTTAACGCTTGGAACACTACTTTTTATGGTTAGATCAATCATAATGAATTACGAAAGGGGAATCAAATTTAATATACGTGGAAATAAAAACGGGAACAATAAAAAAAGCAAGATAACATCGGTTATGCATGCTCATTATTCTACTTTTTGGTGAGATAAAAAGGAAAGGTAAAATTACATTTTTCTTTTCATTTTTTCATCAAGCATATAGCTACAGCTCTAATCTTATTTTACCTTTTAGATCTTAAAATCATATCGTAACATATATATAAAGCGTACACATATGTGACTTATTTAAATGTAAGCATGTACGGTACAAACTAATTTATATACTTTTTGAAGTTAAGGTCCAAAACAATAAAATGAAGTCCACTTGTATAACACAGTGTATAACAGTTTTTAGGTTGAATTTTCGAACTTAATATTATAAAAATATAAAAATATTTTAGATTGTGACGTCCGTTACCTTTACAACCATCAAAAATGCTTAGCACATTTAATTTTTAAAAATCTCAATAAAAGCTTAATTTCCAAGTCACATCTATTCTTTTCTTTAACACGAAACTTTTCCACAACTTCCATTACACCTTTATTTACTTACAAAGCCCCTTCTGTTTGAAAGTAATTTAAGAGTAACGAAAAGCATGTGCATGCATCAAAAATTTATTTATTTATATTATAGCATTGATTATTTATTGACTAAGATATTCATTTAACCGATTCCAGTGACACAAGACTTCGGATAATCACCATAACAAGAATACATCAACTATACATATATATGTGTGATTGTTTGTCATTCCATTTTTTTGTTCCAATCATAATGCTATAAATAACTAGGAAACTCATCATTTTTATTTTTAAAATTTATCTTTGCAAATATTTAAGTCATATTTTATTAGATTAATTATCTCTTTCTCAGCTTACTTTACATCATAAATCAATGTTTCTCAACATTTTTGGTATAACAAAAACAATTCACTTGAAATTTATTATAAGAGCTTGTTGAAAATTTTCCATAGTATCTTAGATCAAAATAAATATTTAGAATTTTTTAAATGCACAACATATTCTATTTGGTAAACAAAAAATTTACTTTATCAATTATGAATCAAAATCGAGTACAATACAAAAGATTTGAATATAATGAAAAAGTGGGTTATTTATATAACAACAAAATCGTGTGGTAAATCAGAGATTGAGTAAAACGAAAATTCTAAAGAACGATGAATCTTTGACAAAAATCAACAAATAAAGATAATTTTACTTTTTAATAAAAAATACTTGGGGTTAGTAGAATAAGCCTTTAATCTTGTTATTGAATATTAAAGTTGGAACTATATGACTAATTAACTTAGAAAAGCCAAACCATAAAAATGTAGTTGTACTCGCCCTACTCTACACTTTAATTTGAACTTTAAAGCTGAAAGTTTATATGTGTGCAGACCTTTCCTAGAAACTTATTTCCGTAGAAGAAAAGTTTTACCTATCTTGCTCACTGTAAAAGTTATAGCCCCCAATCCCTATAAATGAGATTTTTTAACTATTAATTCCAGCGAAATCATAATCATTTTTCGAATTTTGCAAACGCAGTAAAATAGTGGCCGGTTTCATATACCGTGGAATACCATATTTTAATTTAAAAAAAATAAAATAGCTGTTGTAGGAGTCTGAAATTTTAGTAGCTTTTAGACACTAAAAAATAGTTCATTTCGTTGGAAGAAAATGATTTCCCTCCTTCATCCTCTCTCAAGTTATAGCCTCTCGAAATTTGTAAAATTCACATTCTTGGCACCTTATATTTCCGAAACTGCAAGCTTTTTCAAATGTCTATAAATTCAGAAAGCTAACGGTAAATGCCATGCCATTAAAAAATATAATTATTTTCCTTAGCTGACGCAATTAACCCTTCATTTTCGAGCATTATGTTAACACCTTTTTCTTTTTTTTTTTTTGCTTCATCCTAAATGTTTGCAATTTTTAAAATAATTTCGTAGATGAATAAATAATTTTTGAACGGCGAAAAGTGCTACGTTACAAATCATTGGTTTGACCCAACTTTATTAATCTCAATCGAAAGTCTCCAATATATGAGGTAAAGAAACTTTTTAGGAAATTTTTAAGCTCTTGTTTGTAATATAACCTACAATAATATTGTAAAATGACAAGAAAATGTCACCTTTAGTATAAAATAAAAATAAGTTATCAAAATGAAATAATTTCAATAATAAATAAATAAACGGCATTCGATAGAATTATTTTTTGAAAATACTCTCTTTTCTTGTAATAACTGTGCAATACGGAATGCTAAATCCAGTAATATTTCAAAATATTTTTGAAGCACAACTCTCACTTTCATTAAATTGACTATTTTTTTTTTTTTGAGTATATGAATGAAAAATAACTTCCAACAACAACAACACCCTCTTTCGATTTTTGACGGTATTCAAAATCGAAAAAGTTGAAATTGAGAACTTTTATTTTTGTTTTAGTTTTTTTTTGTTCTTCTGTGAATATTCAATAGTCAGCATCTTCCATTTTTTCTTTTTCTAATTTTTGAAATAATGAGCAAAACCTCTACCTTTATTAATACATTTTTGATCATTTGCAATATAACACGACCAAAATACATACATACTCGTATAAGAATAAAATAAAAAAGATAAAATTTTATTCTTATAAGATTTTTAGTACAGATAAAACAATAAGGTTAACTCTAGAAGTTTTGAAATTCTTCCTTTTTAATTAATGAAAAAATTCCAAAGAAATATTGTTTGGAGCTTCTGTTTGACATTGTATCAAATACAAAAAAAAAAAAAATCAACAAAAAGGAAGGAAATATGGAACAAAATTTTAATTATATAAAATTTTTGCAAAACAAACCTTTAAAAAACTAAATCAAATCGTACACAAACATATAAACATATGTACACACGCATTTTTATTTCTTTTTTAAAAGAAAAGGAGCCATTTTTAGCATGAAAATGGTAATTTAACGGAAAATATTTTTTCATTGTTGAAAACTTTTTAGGACCTTTATTTTCAGAAACCAAAATTTTATATGTAACTATTCAGTTAGTTCAATAAAAGATGTTTTCATAGTGGCATTGGTGGCAAAAAGAACAATGGGTTTAAAAAATGAAAAAACAAAAAATAATTCAAAAATTATAATCGCTTTTTAAGATCTTCATTCAGAATTTCAATAATTTTATAATCTTGTTCTCTAATTGGTAAAGTGAATCACTTATTTTGTATACAGCTATGTTGAAAATAATGTGCTCCTAATTAAAAAAAATAGAATGAACGTTTCACCTGAAAAGTGTCTCTTGTTTTTTCGCTTTGAACTGATTTTTGTGAAGTTGCAATTTTTCCTCAATGAATTCTTTTCGATTTTTTTTAACATTTAATTGATTTGTTTTAAAAGTATTGAAGATTTTTTTAAATTATAAAATATTTACTTGTTATCATGTTACTAGTTTCTGAATCATTTCAAATCCTATACCTAAATTCCGGTAAATTATTTAACGTGATATTGAAATTTTTTTATAAATTTTCAAACAAAACACAAAGCTGATTTATATGTACATACATATGTATAATGTTAAGATATAAAAATTATTGATTCCAAAATAAATGCCTTTCCTTTTTCACTTGTTACATAGTAGAACAGAATAGAACAGAATATTACTTTTTATTTAATTTTAAAAGCTTGTCAATTTGTCTATTTTATGCTTCTTTTGCAGGAGCCAGTTGCTCTTGTTGATTTTTAATTTAGCTTCTTTTAATGCAATTAATTAAGGATGCAAGGCTCTCTTCAAATTTCACACTTTAGAAAACTTTATACGAACGTATTATATAAAATGTATACATATATATTTAATATCATTACACTTTATTTTATATAATTTTTTAAAAATTTAAAGAACATAATTTTTCACTTACTTCCTCGCGCTACTTGTTTTTTCAAAGATGAAATGTCATTCACTGAAATCGATTTTATATCGATTAATAATCGATTTCTAAACTCAAACGCTCTTTAGATTTTTTAATGATTCTAAGAATCAAAACTCAATAACATAACAATAATCAGATGAAAAAAAATTAAATTTTGTGCAGAAAAACAACTGCCAACCATTTTTAACAGTTTTTGTCTGTCATAACTTATAATTAAGTTGCACAGTATATAAAAAAAATAAAATTGACGTTTAAAAAAGGAATGTCGATATCATACAAAATTCATCGCAAAATCTACGACCCAATGAATCCAGTTTAAGTTTAATAATAAATTTTAGCAAACCGTTCGTGAATTTTATTATATAAATAAAAAAAATATATATGTATATATTTTTTTTATTTATATATGAAACAAAATCTGATTAGTAAAAATTTTGATAAAAATCCATTACGTTTTTCACTCAATTTGTCAAAAATGAAAGTGTCTTTTGACACATTGTCTTTTTACATTGAATTGATTTGACCGACCTTATCTTTTGAATATTTTTTGAATAAACAAAAACCGTCGGAGATGTTTAAACTCAAAATGAATTAAAAACTCAAAGGAATTTAAGAATTTTAAATCTTATATTCCTTATAATGACATATGAGAGGCTATTATCAGTTTTATACATACATATTTGTTTTTTATCATTCATAACAAAATTTTGTAATAATTATGTAATTTAATAATAAAATTATTTATTTATTTTTAAAAATTTATATAGAAATGCATTATCTGAAACATTTACACATGGTAGAACAAATCCAGAATATTTAGATTATATTACAAAGAAGTCTGAAAAGCGGCATCCTGAATCTCTTTTAAAAATAGAAACATGTGCAACAACAAGTAGTCCAGAATCATCTTCAGAACAATCAGATTATGAAAATTGTGCTGGATGTGGACGATTTATACAGGTACTTACTTAGTTACACATATTTTATTAAAATCTATATTGAAATAAAATTTTTAATTATTATGAAAATGTTTTTCGTTTTTAATAGGATCGTTTTTACTTATCTGCAGTAGAGAAACGTTGGCATGCTAGTTGTTTACAATGCTGCATTTGTCGGAGACCTTTAGAACAAGATACTTCGTGTTTTCAAAGAGATGATAATATATATTGTAAAAATGATTATTATAGGTATATTTAACTTAAAAAATAATATTTTCTTAACTTTTAAAATAATCTTATTTATTTTTGAAGAGTTTTTGGTAGTCGAAGGTGTTCAAAATGTTTAGCATCGATTAGTTCATCAGAGCTTGTTATGCGAGTTCGTTATTTGGTTTTTCATTTGAGCTGCTTTTCCTGTACAATTTGTAATTCACCTTTAACAAAAGGTGATGAATTTGGTATAAGAAATTCTGATGTTTTTTGTAGGTATGCTTGTATTTTGAAATAAATTTTACTCAAATAAATTTTATTAATTATATTTATTAATTTTAGGCTTCATTACATAATTCCAGTTATTGGTGGTCATCTATCAAATTCAAATCCATTTACAAATACATGTTCATTTATATCACATATGGAATCGACAGGAAATGAGTCAAGATATTTAGATGGTACAGACAAATTATCTCCCTCAGATATATATATTCATTCACCTCAAATATTGCAAGAGTTAACACAACCTCCCAGACAAAAAGGAAGACCTAGAAAACGAAAACCTAAAGATTTTGATACTCTTAATTCAGGTATTTATTCGATACTATTTAAATGCTAATCGATCCATTTTTCAAAACAAATATTAATTTAATAGTAATTATTTTATTTTTTCATTATTTTTAGATTTAGGTTCAGAATATTTAGAATTTAATCAGGGAGGAAGTTTATCCAGTGCATCAAGGACCAAACGAATGAGAACTTCATTTAAACATCATCAATTAAGAACTATGAAATCTTATTTTGCAATAAATCATAATCCAGACGCAAAAGATCTTAAACAATTATCACAAAAAACTGGACTTCCAAAAAGGGTTCTGCAGGTTTGAATTGATTTTACATTATTAATCATATTTTATATTCTTATTACAAATTTAATTTGAAAATACTCTTATTTAATAACATTGTATTTTCAGGTGTGGTTTCAAAATGCTAGAGCGAAATGGAGGCGAATGATGACAAAGCAAGACACTAAAAATGTGGCAGACAAATTTGATGGCTCCACAGATATTGAAAGCTTTAATCCGAATAGTCCATCCTTCTTCCATGCACCCCCGAGCCCATCTACTTCCATTTAAGTACTATTATTTTAACTAAATTAATAAATAAAATAATATTAAAACAATAAAGTTATTTTTATTTTAAAAATGAATGCCGGAAGATGTTGGTGTTACGGCACGTATATAATATCATAGTATACCATTACTGGTTAATTTAAACTTGAGAACAATGTTGAAACAATCCATTTTAATGATGGACAAATCGTCGTTCTTTTAATTTTAATAACTTCATATTGATTTCGTTTTAATACACATACATGTAAACTTATTTCGTATTCCAATATTAACGTTACACATACAACTATAAGTACCTGAATATAGAAAGTAAAATAATTTTCCGTAAAGAAAAACTTTTTATTTTCAATCAACTTTCGCAAGGAGCTTTTGTGTAAAATATTTGAGCAGTTTACAATTTTTAAAAAAATTTGAAAGCTTTTCTTTTAATATTATAATAAAAACCCAATATCTACACACATACCGAACATAAATGTAAATATAGAAATTTATATAGGACAAGCAAATTTAAAATGAATGTACAAACAACAATAAAATTTTTATGAAATAGCAGCAGATACCAAATGATTGAACATCAGAAAATAAATAGTCCAGTCCTCAGTGTACGCACATACAAAATGCAATAGTAAACCAATTTCTTATATTTTAATATGGTAAATAATTTCCAACCCCATTTCGTTTTTATTAGTCCTATTTGTGGAAGTGTCAAGTGGAAATTCAATCAAAAATCTTTGATTTTCAACTGATTGTGATCACGAAATCTCAAAAAAACTTTTGTCTAATTTTTATTAAATAATAACAAATAAATTTTCTGAAACAAAAAATTCTTGTAATATCAAAAGCTGCCATCTTATGTAAATTTTAAAGTTTGCGTGGCATTTTACCAATTATTTGTCATACAAATACTTTCCATTTTAATTTCGAAAGCAGCAGAAATTGTTTGACGAATTTTTTATCATGAACAGACCATTGCATATACTTTATTATATTACATACAATTTAGACATTTTCCAGGATTTAGAAATACAATTAGAAATGGTAATATTATTTTCGTAGTTCTATTGAATGCTCGATTGTTCTACAAGCGCACTTCCTCGTTATAATAGATACCAATAACGATCAAACTTAAAAATCCGATAATTTTACAATTTATTTGTTAAAATATTTGAATTTATTTATTTAGCTTATAAAAAATAATTGTTGTAATAGAACGAACGTTTATTAAGGAAATTATTACTTTTTATGTTCCATTTGCAAAAATATTCTAAAAATCTTGTAATAATTTTGTCAAATTAATGTCTTTTAAAATTTGCAATTAAAAGTCATTATTCCGAAATCTGAACAAATTATAACTAATTTAGATATTCATGGCAAGGGGGCGTTGTTTCCAAATCATCTATTAAATAATGCGCCTATCTGACACAGGCCTGTAGTTATACTTAAAATTTGAAAAGTAAAGAAATTAGTCGAGATTGACTGAAAGCCTCTGTAACTCAAAACCTGTTGAACTGTGAGCATCGTCTTCATACCAAAGATACAAATTTCTAGCAGACGAATAAGAAACTTTTATTTATATTTACTGTTCGTGGCAGTATTCTTCAAAATTTTTCTTTTAAATTTTTTTTGCTTCTTCTTTAATATTTTTACTTCCACTTTTATAGAAAAATAAAACTGTCAGGAATATTTCAATTAGTGTTTTACATTGCAAATTTTAACTGATATAATAATTTTTTCAATTTTATTTTTTAGTACGCGGTGTAAATTTATTAAGGAAACTTTGAAATACGTGAAAAATATATTTGAGACGCGAGTTAAAGTACTTAATTTAATAAGTGTTTTTGTTTTTTTTTTTTATTAAATTTTTTTTTCCAGAATACCTGAGTTTCCCATAATAAACTACAATCATGGTTCAGCATCCTACAGAAGAAAGGCGTAAGAAGTTGTTCAATTTTTTTATTTATAAAAAGTTAATTTTAACTTTTGGAACATTGGAATTAATTTTTGTACACTTAATTATGCTTACGACATCATTAAATTCTGAAAAATGAATTTTTCTACTTTATATTAATTATTAATTTGTGAAGAGCTTGTTTAAAGTTATCAAAGTTAATTACAACATACAAAAATCATACAATACTACAAGTAGCTCTAAATACGGAATTGATTTATAAAAAGAATTTTACACCATTAAGTACATTAAATTTTTTGATTTGTAATGGTTCTTTGAATTATGCATATATAGCCCTTAGAAAGAACCTTTTACCGCTTTTTATTTTAAACAAAGAGAAAAAAAAACTATTAATCGATAAGTGATTATATTTTATAATGTGCAAGGTTTCGCTATCTACATAAGAACGTATAAATTTTTTGTTATGCACCTCACTAGAAAATAATATAAGTACCTACTACAACGGTATTACATACATAAAATGGTTACTATACGTAATGTTCGTACATGTTTTTAAAAAAATTGTAATCTGAGTTACTTTTAATAGAGTATTGCCGTTACGATTGTTGGAATTCTATTTTTTGTTTTCAAAAACATTCAAAATCCTTTTGTATAAGATTTAAAAGCAAATTTATAATATTATAAAAAAAATAATGAAAGAAAAAAATTTTGTTCATAAACTTTACTGGTATATGTGCATGTACACACAATAGATTCGTAGGATGTCTATCGAAATTCTGATATCGAATGAGCTATTCGTCTTCCTGCCAAATACTTTACATTATACTCATTGTTCTCATAAATATCACATAACCTTTTATTGCTTACAACTAGGAAAGCAGAAACTATAAGAGCTGAAAGATTAAAGAGTCGTCAAAATAAATTATTTTTTTTATTTATTATTAAACTCCACCAAAGCGTTCATAGTGTACATAGATTCTTCTACAATCTTAATATATTCTTTGTCAGACTATTCCATTAGATTTTCTTACGAATTAGAAAAATCACAAGTTGTTTTAAAAAACTTAAATAACTTCCGCTAGATAAATTTGAATCAAGTATTTCCTTCAGATAACGGGTTTCGTTCAAATATAAAATATATAACGGATAAATCCAATGTGATATTTACTAAAGAACAACAATAACATCGGCACTGCAGTAATACTATATTAATACAGAATTCTGCTCATAAGTACTAATTATCTATAGTGATACAGTATAATATTATAAGGAATTAAGAGGCTATACAAGTTCAATTGTGTATTAATAGAGTATTACTGCAATTCAGATTTCAGTGCAAATCACGTCTAAATCATATTCAATAATTAAAATCAGGTAAAAGAAAATATTTCCGAACTTTTGAATAACAACGCTAACACAAATCAATTTTAATCGAAATTTTCACTTTGAAATATAAATTTTACTTTTACGTAAAAATTTGATTATAATCAAATTCTTGTACATATACATAACATTTATTTATTACGTTATTGGAAGCAAAACATGTTGGTATACGTAGGTATACAAACATGTTTTGTTAAATACAAAATATAATAAGGAAAAACGTAGCAGTACAGGGAAAGTATATTTATTTTCATACAATATAAATATATACATGTGTAGGTATGTATGTGGGTAAATAGATAGATTTAGACCTCTTGTATAATTTCTTATATCAAATCGATATGTTATTAATATAAGAAATAAAGAAAAAGCTTAAAGGTAAAAAAAAAATCAGTTTTAGCAAAAAGGAAGAAAAAATTTTTCGAGCTTTCGCTTTATGTAGAACAAAACGAAAAATACACACACACATATGCTTCAATTGAAATGTTATTTACATGTACAGAAACAGGACGAAATTTTTTAATTTCATATTTGATGTTAATAAGATTTCAGACTTTTTATTTAAATTTTTGTTTAGTAAAAGGTAATGAATAACTAATTATATTCGGGAATTTCTGTGAACAATAAGTACTAGATTTAATTAAAATTTTCAAGACGCAGATAAATCACTTAAATTATTTTATACTGTCAACTATTCAAGTTGACAGTAGATAGAATATAAGCAAACGGCCTCAAATTTAGTAAAAATGTTGACAGTTTGAAGTTTAATTTCCACATTTGTATGTACTAATGTATTTACCGCCAGTTATACTGGAATAAAAGTATTTATAAGTACTCCTCTCTTAACAACAGTTATACTTAGTTGCAAATTGTTATATATGTTACATAATATACATAATATATAGAGGACTTTTATTTCAATTAAATTTATAAATAATTACAAAAAGCATTTTCATAAATTTATGTTTAATATATTGACAATCAGGATTTCTCCCTGAATTACTTAAAACAAAATGTAAGAAAAAATTGAATATGTAGCTGAAAATCATTTCGAAATCACTTAATGTCAAGTTGAATTGTTCAGCGTTAACATTAATTTACTGAACAAAGCCAAACTAATATCATAAATTTGCAAGTAAGTGTTTTCGTGATTACGAAATTGCAGTAAATATTGTATCAATACACTATTCAGCAATTATAAATCGTGAGCTTATTACTGTATTATCGTATCTGTATTCTGTATTATCGTATTACTGCAATTTTGAGTTCGTGGTTTGAACTTAAAAATTTGTAAAAAGTAGTTTTCTGTTGAACAAAAAAATTCTGTTTGCGTTATTTCTAAAACTTGAATTTCTGCAAACGGAAAATATTTACACAGAAGAGCAGTGAACTAACAAGTCAAATTTGGTTTTAGCTACCAACTTTTTCTTTTTTTGCTTATTTGGATATTTTATTAAAATTTTGATTTCACTTTGAACAAAAAAAAAGTTTTTAATTTCGAATTATCTTCCTACTTTCTTGGAAAATACACACGAACCTAATTATTTTTTTTAATTTTGAGCTTTCTAAAGCCACTTGTAGAAAAACATGAGGCAATTGAATAAAAAACAAAGCAATAATAGCAAAAGATGCAAGTCCATGACCATTATTATGTCACAAAAAGTAGAAAAAATCGATATTGTGTTTACCTTATTCAATTCAATTGATTTTCATATTTTTGTTTTGCTGTGATTAGAGAGTGCCTTAAGAAATCAAGGAGAAAATTAAAAATATTTAAAAAATTGGAAAAAAGTTTTCTGTGTTTTTTGTGTTTGAATTACAAAAAAAAATTAAAAGAGATTTAATCGTTAATCTTGCCGGGGCAATTAAGTAGAATTGAAGATTCCTAAACTTTAAGATTATCCAGGAAAAAGGAAAATCGTGCATTATGGACGATTCTAATAATAAAAGTAAGAATAAATTTTTGATTGTGGTGTAAAATTCTGTTATATAACATCTTTTCGTATTTAATAGTAAAATTTCATTAAATTCAAATAAATATGTATTTCAAGTGTCACAACTTACAAGCATACATACAGAAATATGTTATGAAGACCCTATTTGATTTATTTTTAGTACATATTTATATATGTATGTATGTAGGTGATACTTATAAGTATATGGAATTGAAATTTAAAAACAGGCAATTGTTTTGCCAATTAAACTCATCCTGTTTTTAGAATATAAAAAATATTGAACTACAAACCATATATGTAATATAAAAATGTTAAATTTTCATTTTCACTTTGTCACCCTTAAAAAAATTGTTTATCTTAAAAGATACTTAAAGTATCACCTAAGTTATGCTCATAAGTTTCAAATTTAATTCAAAATTAATTGTTACTATACTACTATCTTATTATATGAAGAATATGATTTAATATTCTAAATAATGAAATATTTAAATTTAATTATAATTATTTTAAGGAATAATTCGTTTGGATAAGGAAAATAAGCGCTCATTCGGAATATGCATCGTCAAAGGAGAAGTAAGTACTTATCTATAACAAAATAAAAAAATCCAAATAATGTACCTACCGATCTTTACGTAAGTATACATAAAATCCGTAATGTGAGAACTAAATTCTACAACTAATTCGGTATTAAGAGAAAATTTAATTTATGTATGTATGCTATTTATTTACTATATTCGGAAGAATTCCAAATTAAATGAGAAAAACAAAAGTTTCAGTGAACATTAAGACTGGATTTCATGTTTCTTCATTCGAGAAAATATTAATGAAGTAGAATTTGAAGTCCGAAATTTCGTTATTATATTTGGGTCAAATAATTTTTACATTTCTATAACAAAAATATAGAATAATTTTATTAAATTCAAACTCTAAATACAATTAAAATAATACACAAACCTGTTAATAACGATTATATAAAATAAATTAAACTCTACCGAAGAAGTTTTAGCGTTCTTATTACGGCAATAAATGAAATCTTCAAAAAATGAGAAATTAATAGGATTCGGACGAGTTTCCGAATTTTATTTATTATGAAAAATGGCGAATAATTGAAACTTCCTTTTAAATATAATTTATTTTAGCAAAACAGGCAAAGTGGAATTTTTATCAAAGACATCGTGCCACAAAGTCCAGCTTATATGTGTGGTAAATTGAAGGTAAGATATCAAAATTGTACTAAATATTATATGTATGAGGTGAATACGCAATTCAACTTGTAAGCTATAAATTGCTGAATTGAGTATTAATATCATATTACTCCAGTTTTGAAGTTATGTATGGGGAAAATATTTTAATTGTTAAAAGAATATAAAATAAAAGATAAAATTCAATTTTTGTTTTTTGGAAATCTGGTTGTCTTCTATACAACTTACAAAGTTTTCCAAAATTGTATGACCCTGAAATGGCAATTGTAATAATACTGCCCTACTACACAACTCAAGCTTACAAGTACATACGCTGTAATTGTTGAATTATCAATGGGTACAAGTATTGTTGTAATTTCGATGTTCACACGTGTAGAATAATTGACTTTAATAAAAAGTTATACGGTCATTTTATAAAATTAGATTCATATAAGCATTTTGACGTAAGTAGCTCTATTAATGACGTAAGCTCTCTCATAAAATCTAATGGATTTAAATGGATTTATAGTCTGAGAACTGGGAAAATTACTTTATTATTTTTATTGTATTTACTATTTATTTACTAATTATGTATGTGGTCTAAAAGTTCAATAATTGTTTAAATAGGTTGGTGACCAAATACTATCATTAAATGACAGAGACATCCGAAATGCTACTGAACAAATAGTCATCGAGTTGATCAAAAATGCTGGAAAAGTAATTAATCTTGAAATTAGACCAAATGATTCAATTGTAAGTGTATTCAATTAAATAACTACATATAGAAATATTTTTTATTTATTAAGTACTTATGTACTTATTGTGAAATTCTTTGTAGAAGGAAATTTATAAACCAAGTGCACTTAAAAGACAACCCACACAAACTAAAGCTGAAGAGCAGAATGGAATGAACAACAACAACAACAATAACAACAACGATTCTAATGGTAAGTTGTTTTCGCTGTTAAATTTTCCATTTTCTTTTTTTATTAATATATTTTTAATTAGTACAAGAAGACAACATATCGGATAAATTTGATCCATCATTTTACGATGATGAAGACGAAAATATGAATCTTACTGGTCGTATGTTGAGTTCATCTGGATATGAGGTCAACCAATTTAAAATTTTTGTCAATAAATTTATTTCTAAATTGTAAATATATTTTGAAATAGATTGACAGAGCTTCAGCAGCTAATGCAAACTTAAGTGAGACCGAAAAAGCTGCTAGTAACGAGAAGGAAGATGTATTCGGTTACACGAATTTTAAAATTAAAAAACGTTACGGAAAACTCGGAAAAATTGTAAAAGCTACATTCGAAAGACAAGATAATGAAGATATTGGTTTAGCATTTGCTGGTCATAAAGATCGACAAAAAATGGCTTGCTTTATAGCTGGTATTAATCCTGTGGGACCATGTAAGAAGGCTGACTTACAAGTAGGTGATGAAGTTTTGGAAATGAACGGTAACGTCCTAAAGGACAGATGTCATTTAAATGTATCTTGTGTATACAAAACCATTCCTGGAAATACTATTACATTTATTGTTCTAAGGTAAAAAAGAAAAACAAAAAAATTGTTTTTCAAAAACTAATTTTTTTAAATTTTTGAAGACGAAGCAATTATTCTAGTGTAATGTCAGTCAAACCAGTTACTAAATTCTCAGAGGCAGTCGATGAGGTATTTTTTTTTTTAATTCAATAAAACAACATTTAGAAACACACTTTGTTTTTCAAGACAAAATGGTTATTTACTGCATACAAAAATGTCAGAAAAGTACAAATACGAAAAACCGGCGTCTGCATAGGAATTATGGTAATTGCAGGAAAACATGTTGAAGTAGGAAACGGTATTTTCATATCTGATCTACAAGAAGGCTCCGTCGCTCAAGAAGTTAGTTATTTGATTTTTATTACAACATATTAATAATTGGTTGTGTTTTAGGCTGGTTTAAAAGTTGGTGAAATGATACTTGCTATAAACAAGGATATTCTTGTTGAGACCAGCTACGATACAGTTTGTACCTGCACTTTAATTTATAAATTGTATTTTAAAACTTGTTTATTTTTAGGCTGTTGGAATTATTAAACGTTCTAAAGGTGTTATTAACTTTGTTATTGCCAATTTAAAGAGCGAAGAACAGCTTAAGAAAGAAAAGGAAGCAGAAGAAAAAAAGAAAATAGAACAAGAAAAAAAAGAAAAGATTAAAGCAGGTATTTGATATCTTTCTTTTAATTAGAAGGGGCTTAAAAACGCTCTGCATTTTAAAATTTAACCAAAAAAAAATTTCAGAACCTGAAAAACCAAAAGATCCACTAACATGCGAAATTTTCTCAAATACAAAAACTGGAATTGAAATCAAAACCGAAAAGAAACCTTTGGGAGTTATCGTTGTGGGAGGAAAAAATAATTATGTTACGGTTAGCTTCTTCTTCGAATAACAATTTAAAATTTATAATTAATTTTAATTTTTAATTTTTACTAGACTGGAGTGGTTATAACACATATATATCCAGATGGAATGTTTGCTAAAGATAACCGACTTGAAATATTTGATCAAATTTTAGAAATAAACGGTATTAATCTGAATTTTGAACAACTTAGACCTGGTGGCTACAATTCAACATTAAAAGTTCACCAGCATTTTAATTTACCTTATGAGAAGGTAAAACTTTTCTTTTTTATTTTTATAAATCGGTAACAATATTGTAAAAATATTGTAAAAATTTTAATTTTAGGTAAATATGCAAGTTTATAGAGCTAGTCCTATTGAAACTGAAACAATAACTGTTGAAGTTGCTAAGAAACCTGGTAAAGATTTTGGTATTTCTTTGGCTTACAATGTTAGAGGAGCCGTTATAACTGATATGGTAATATTTAATTTTTATATCTATTTATGTGTATCAAGTTTTTTCCCCTAAATTTAAAATTTTAATTTTTTTTTTTGTACTGCAGTATCCCGGGGGTTATCCAGAAATCGATACTAAATTACAGCGAGGTGATATTATAAATAAAATTAATGATACTGAATTAGAGAACACATCATTGGAAGTATGTTATTCTCTATTAAAAGCAGCTACTGGAAAAGTTACTCTACAAGTAGTACGTCCAAAACCAAATGAAAGGAAATAAAACAATTAAAAAAGATATTTTAAAATAAAAATTGAATTCTACATTTTTAAAAATTCATAGAAAATCCATTGTTCATATAAATAATTATACAACGATTTTGCTGGTTATCCTTTACAACAAAAAAAAATTATTATTCGAAATTAACTGGTATATTGTAAGAAAATAATACTTAATTCAAATAAATACATCGAAATTGTATAAAAAAAAAATGTTGTTAAATTTTAAAAATTGATGTATTATTTAAGTAAAATAAATATTTTTATAATTTAAATTAATAAAAATTGTGTTAAATTCAAAAAAAAAAAAATAATAATTCTGAATTTGAAAAAAAAATATTTCTAGACGCAAAATTAACACAGAAGTTGTTTATTCCAATCTACACAAGTTTAAAACATTTTTATTAAAACTATTTGGTTTTTTTTTTGTTTTTTTTTTTTTGGATTTCTATTTTATTGTCCTAAAATTATCTATAATTTTGATAATTTGACAATTATTAAATTCTTTTATTTTTTTTGTTTGTTTTTGTTAATGTTAATTTATACTACACGTATGTATATGTACATCATTTTGTACATTATAGATATTTTTAGACATATAATCATGAAAATATACAAATATATTTTTTTTATTAATTACATACATATTTTTTTTATAATAGTACATGCATGCATGCATACATATTAGTTATATTCGCATTTTGGAATTCAAATTTAGATTGAATATAATACTAAATAATATATACGCATACATAATATATAGATATACATTTTTATTTTATTGATGTTAATTTAAAAAAGAGCTGAAATTTTAAAAATTAATGATTATTTAATTGAATTGCAGTTTTTATTCAAAATTTGCGAAATTTTAAAAATCTTCAGATTTATCAAAATTATACACATTTCCTTGAGTAATAACTATCATATGGTTGTTTAAGTTAAAAAATTGTGTTCCGTTTCCGTGTATTTCAGAATGAGACTTTAAAGTTGAATTCTTTTGCATTTTAATAGATATTGCAGTTAACTTTATCATTTTATTGTAAATGATAAAGTAAAACACAAAAATGTTACGTAATTAATAATGTCAATAAAACAAATTTTTTGGTAATTTTTTTTTAATGAAAAAAACTCAACTATTGAAATTTAATTTTAGAAATACTCAAATCGAAATTAATTTGTTGTTAAAACCGTTGCGAACAGCCAACTGGTCGCATGCAAAAGTTGTATTCGAAATTTAATATGCAAAGTTTTTTTTTTATGCAAAGCTTTTGACATTATCGATTACACTTTAAATAACCATAAGACTGCATTATGGAACTCAAGTTACATACCGTCTATCTATCTAAATATATATGAATTTCTTTTGATAAGAAGAAAAAACATTTATGATGTAAACAAACATAATATTTAGTTCACTTCAATTTCATTTAATTCAAATAGTTTTTTAGTTTTTTTTTATAAATTTTGAATAAATTTTAAACTGCACTTGATATTTCCTTTTTTTTTAATTCCAGCCAAAATCATGTATTTTTAAAGAATTTACTTACAATAGTATTTAAAATTACTAATTTCTTATAGAACTCATTCCTTAAAAAAACTTTCAAATCTGAAGAAAATTCATTCCAAATATTGTATTTTTTTCTTTTTGTTCCAATTAGTAATACTATGCACGTGGTTAAATTTCATCTTTTTTGTTTTTTTGTTAAATCTCTAGTATTTTTGCCAGCCAACATAGTAGGTTTACAACAAAATAATGCATATTGCTTAAGTTTAAAGCTTTGTTTGTTTTTTTTTTGTGTGTGACAGTACCTATACCGTTAAAGGCATAATTTTTATGAGAAAATGTCATTCTTTTGTTATGTTTTTATAACTTGTACGTTTTTGAATTTACTCAAATGCGCTATAAAATATAAATTTGTTAATTTATTAATGAGAACAATTTACTTAAATACTTAATTAAAATTTGTTTTTGTACTGTAGAAGCTACATACTTTTTTTCTATAGGTACTGTTATACAAACATGTACTTTTTCTATATTAGATCGTTAGAAGCAAAAAAAAAAATTAAAAATATCAAATACATGCGTAAGATCAGTCGTGATTTATTTGAAATTTGACAGATGAATTACATTCAATAGTAGCGTATATATCCCTGCCTTGCAGTAATATTATATTCATACACAACTTATTAATATTATTTTCTACAGGGTGAATGGTTTATTAATACAATATTACTGCAATCTGAATGTTAAGAGTGAATGTTAAGAGATACCATTCCTGAGGAACAATTCCGGTTTATATTCAAAAATAAATACCCTGTCTGTACTTTAAACTTTTTTTTTATCAGTTTAGCACTTACATACTAATGCGTTAATAGTAATTAATTAAATAAAAATTACTATTGAATTAAAAACTTTTGTAGATGTGGCAAATATAAAATTATAAATTTTGATTTACAACTGAAACAAGGAATCTATTGAAAATTCTATTGAAAAAATCAGTCGTTATGATAATAATGGAAATTATTCAATCAAATTGTATAAATTCTCTTTCTTTACATAATTTTCTAGTTTATATGTGAAATTTGATTTTATCTTTTTATACTATATTGTTTCTCGGTTACTTTAATAGTCCAATAATCAAAAAAAAACCATGTATTATTGTCACTTGTTGTATAACAAATCGTGTTTTTTTTTTCGTTTTTGAAAACTGTACACAAAAATTTTATTTAATATTGAAAATCGTATTAAAAAAGTTATCTACTTTTTTATTACGACTTTCAAATTATATGCAAGTACCTATATTTTGTAGCAATTAAACTTAATTAAATTTTTTCATATATTTTTTCATATATACATATTTGCATATAGTTCCAAAATTCAAAGAAAATAGTTTGAAATATGGAAAAAATTAATTTCAATTGTCATGTTTGCCATGCATTGAGCAAACTGTCAGCAATTGTCATGGTAAATTCATATATGTTCTTAAAAGATTTTAATTTTAAAATTTATAACATATCCCAATTTCCAAAATTGCAATAATGTGGTGTCTATACACATTCCACCTTATGAACTCTAATATACAAATTGTTTATCAATCCAATATTACTGCAATTTTAAAGTCACAGATAGTATAAATAAAAAAAAAAATTTATTTTGATCCAATATGTACAGCTTTCTGAACAAAAATTTATAAAATTTGTTACATTACAATATTAACAGTATTAACAGTGTAATGGAATTTTTAATGGAAAAGTAATTTTCTGACGCTAATAAAAATTATACATTACGCTATGTTATTTTAAAAGAAAATTTCAAGATATAATAAAATGTAATAAAGTTTATGATCAATGACGATATTATGATATTTAAAATTAGTAAAAATAAATTTTATAATCTTCCGATTTTTTTGCTTCCTTTTAAGGAAATTGACTTCTTTGGAAAAACCAGTTACTTATTATATATTATAAAAAATGTAACAAAAGTAATTACAATATACGAAAAATAATATTATTTTACATTATATATTCATTAAATATTAAAATATATGTATACAAATAAACTGAATATAGGTATATAAACGTATATTTGTACATAAATATGCATATATATATAGAAAATTTATGCATATGCTTATATAAATATACGCAAATGCATTTTATATTTTTTATAAAAATTAATTTTATAAGTAGGTATATACATAAAAATATATGCATATTGTACACACCCATGGACATATGTTAGGTCATTGTGTAACAAAAATACATATATATATCTATATGCCATAGTATATAAACACGAAGTCCGATATCAGCATAAAAATATATATTTATACATAAACTTAAATATAAAAACATTAAAAAAATATTAATAAAAGAAAAAAAGCATAAGAGAAGTACACGTAAAATGCATAAGGTATAGGAAGTGACAACAGTAAAATTACTTATGCAGCTAAACATGATTTTTGCCCACAATTTTACAATAATAAATATTTTAATAATATGCCCCGCTAGTTTGGTACATTAGTTGGTTTTGCTGAAAGATGTGCACTAGTAATAACTAAATTTTTTGAGGACATATCCCTTTCAGTTCCATAAATTTTTCCAGCTTTCTTTGCTACTGAACCCAATAATTCTTGCGATGTTTTATGAGCGGATTGTAATGAATATGACCACTCCTTTAAACCAATTTCATCCTAAAAATTTTAAAATGTACATTATTTAAGGTAGCGTTAAAAAGAAAATGTTTTAAACATATATTATAATTTCAAATAACCTGATTTGTAAGAACTATTCTTCCGTCACGTATACTCTCTTTCATTCGGATTTGTATGCAATTCTCATTTTTATACTGAATAAAATCTGATGATATTTCTTCTATCTGATCCATAAATATTAACTCTGGCTTCGCACTTCCGCTTTCAGTGTGCAATTCAAGTCTACGAATATTATAAATCTATCAATTTGCTTTATCAATATATTAGCTAATCAACTTTACCTATTAGGATACAACTTTGCATATCTGGTTTGCCATATGGAAGCGAATGCACCACCTAATTTCTTAATATATCCATGAAGTATGCAATCTGATTCCTTTTCATCAACATCAAAACGTTGTTTTTGTTTTGACTTTTTCTTTTGTTCTAATTTATCTGCCTCTATGTTAACGGTTTCAAAAACAGTTTCAGAAACTTCTTGCTGCCATCTATGGAATACAAGGATGAAAATGATACATATTTTATAGCTTTTGTTATTACCTTTCGGATATAACTAAAGGAAAATATTTGTACAACTCTTGATCTGCTTCAGTTAATTTAATTCCTTTTGTATCCTCCTCATCAAAAGACCCAATGTCAAATGCGTCAGCAGCATTTACTTCACCTCTTGGTGGGATAAGCGGTGGGGTATATTTTTGGATATAAACTTGATGCCAATCAATACCGTAGAAAAATGAATGCTCTTTCACTTCATCAGCTCTATTAAAAATTATATTTAGTTTGTTTCAATAAGATTAAATAGATAAGTACCCTCTGCCTTTACACCCAAGGCGGCTCGACACCTCTCTTTGAAGAAGACTGTCTAAAAGATTTTTTAATTCATCGCTAAATGTATCGGGTAGCTCAACATTCTAAATTTAAAAAAATTAAAACAATTATTTTACTTTTTTAATTTTTTAATCTCACCATTGTCAAGGTCATACGGTCGATTTCGTTTTTATCTTTTGTTTTATGTTGCCGAAATGGTGAATGTCCTTTCAATAATTTATAGAGCATACAACCGAAACTAAACCAATCTGCACTACAATCATAAGCCACGCCTTTAGCCAATACCTCTGGTGCCATATAGCCATGGGTTCCAACTGATGCATGAGGCTTTTTTTTAGAGAAATCACATGCAAGTCCTAAATCTGATATTCTGACATGACCATTTTCATCCAATAATATATTCGCAGGCTTTAAATCTCTATAAACAATGAATCTTTTGTGCATGTGTTCCAATCCCAATATTACCTAAGAATACGCAAAATGTTTATTTTCTTTAATTTAAAAATTTATATCTTTAAACCTCGGCAGCATAAAACTTCATTTCGGATTCATTGAAAACACCATGTTGAGACAAATGATAATGCAAATCTCCACCATTCATTAAATCCAGTATGAAACAAAGCTTATCTGGCGTATGAAATGCGTACGTCATACATACAATAAATGGGCAATCGATCTAGGATAACATAGATGGTAAGAGAAAAAAGACAAGTTTGCAAATTTCTTATATACCAATCACAACTTATTTATTAAATTAGTTACATCTTACATGCATAACAACACAACGATTATGATCGACTTACTCCTGTGCTAACCAAAGATAGCATCGTCCTCTCATTTAGTGCTAGTGTTTCACCTTGTTTCATTTTGATACGTTTCTTGTCTAGACATTTCATAGCGTACATTTTCCCTGTATCTGCCTTCCGACAACCGTACACTTCACCAAAACCGCCTCTCCCAATTATACGATGAACACTGAAGTCATTCATTGACAACTAAAAAAAAAAAATAATTTTTATCATTGAAATTCAAGCACTTACTATAATTAATACCGGAATAATTGCAAAATTTAAATCATAAAAAGATAGAGATAAGATATAAACCTTAGATTTATCAAATTAAGAGTTACTGTTGCCACTATAGTCAAGCCAAAGTACTCATAATCATTCTCGAAATATGAATAACAAGCTCGAAATCAGAAACTACACAACTCTTTTACGCTTCAGTAGGCAACAAAGATTTTTGATATTTTTCATAAAGTATTAAAAGAATGTATGTAATTGAATGGACTACAAATTGTTAAGCAAGAAATATAAAAGGCAAACCTCGAAAAATTTGTCTAAAATATTATGCTTCCCCTTTGTAAATTTAAACGCAATTCATCAAATAGGTTAATTTCGATATATTAACAAAATAAGATTTTCCGAACGTACACTTTCTAGAGGAACACTTCACTTTTTAAGAGTGCTTAAAATTTACTTTCTATTAGTGTTTTTATAACATACATTTATTGTCATATACAATGAATATTAAAATTTTATTACTATTTGTTATATGTATGTAGTGTATATGTATTGTAAAATTTTTTAATTTTTCATAATGAGAACATAAAAGTTTTTACCTGAATATTTAATTCCAAATTTTTCCATTGACAAAATCTTGTAAATTTTTCGCTAAAAGAAAAGAAAAATAATAGGAAAACTTAAATTATTTGATTTATCTTAAAACCACCTTAAACCAATTAAAGTTTGTGAAAACATCTGAAACAAGCAAGTATTTTTGTAGCATAAAAATAAATTTCTATTAATCTTTATTTGTTTAATATATGAATTTATGAATTTCAATTTCATCTATAGTATATAAGGTATATAGAGCAAATTAAAATCAATGCAACTACACAGTTTCTAAAAACAAAATAGAGAATTATTAAAAAATGTTAACTGTGTACGAACGAACAAATTCGCAAAAAATATAATGTAATTTTATGATAATTATACATAGATATTACGAAATTACGTGTATTTTAGACGAGAAATAATTTTATGCAAATTTCAAAAAAAATTTAAATCAGTATTTTACGGTTGCATCATTGAATTGGTTTCGATGTTTCACTTATTTTTCAATTGAATGTGGAAATGTGCAAAAAAAGAAAAATTCTTTTTATATTTGCAAAAAAGTTTAGAGCCGATATCCAACTTTTCTCCGGCGATTGTAATCTTAATTTTCATTTATTGTTATATCCAACTTATTATTGAACAAAATTTCGTTCATGATTAATTTAAGCTTTTTTCATACCTTTCAAGAAATTTCTGAAATGGTTTGCCTTTCAGGTGATTGAATATTTCTTCAATATAGGGCTGAAAAAATGAGATTGCAGATGTAAAATTTGAAATTATGAATACAAATGTTTATACTTCAAATAAATTTATAGGGACCTCGTTTTTCATTAAATACTTTTGAACATTTGTAACAGCCTCCCTTGAGTATTCCTAAAAAAACTTATAAGAAATATAATTTTTTTTTAATTTAATAGTAAACTTTACATGGGTGTGAGAGAGCATTTCCTTCATAATAAAGTTGTCATATATTTCTTTTGCCAATTTCTTTCTATCATCATAACATTCAGTTTTTTCGAACTTTTTTATCTGTAAGGTAATAAACATGTGTTAACAATTTTTAAAATGGTTTGAATTTCATTTGTACCTCTTCATAAAACTTTAATTGTGGTACAGGTTCATCGCAAACATTTTCACAATAATCCTTAAACAAAAGAAATCCTGCAAATAAAGTTTTGTAATAAATTGTGCGATCGTAATAACTATCTCAGACTCTGTTAATACCTAAGACCTGATTAAAGATATTGTAGAATGTAATTTCATTTTCTTTTTCCAGGTATTTTTGCATTACACTACGAACACTGCAATTAATAAAAATTATTTTTGATTGAAGTGAAAAAAAATAATACTTTGAGTTTTTGTCAAATTTGTTAAATATAATTTTGGTCGGACCCTCCCAAAATTTGATCATAAATATAATCTTATTGTCAATTAATTAATTTTGTTTTTGATTAATTAATCTTGAGGTTGAATAAATTTCCAACTCTCAATTTTGTATATTAATCAGCCTAACCAAATTTTTTAAAAACTTAATATTATAGCTCAATAAGAAAATGGTTAGATTCACAAAACTCCTGTTTTAAAATGGAAATTCTCTGTCCTATAAGCGAAACAGGATAAGTTTTTTCAAAATTCATTTTTAACGTTCTCAAAATTCAACGTTTAACTGAAAATATGATTGTTGCATTATTTTTACTTATTCATACGTGTGATTAGTTCAAGTTGATGTAACTTACTTGCATTATTTTATTTGAATTTTATTACTTGCATTAGGTCAGATGTTAAGTGAAAAACGCGTCGTAGTGGAAAAAAAAAATGTAATCGACGAGAATAAGAAATACAAAGTTAAAAATTTAAGAAAATTTGAATTTTGCTTAAATCCAAAATTAACAGAATTAAACGCATAGTCAGAAAAACCTGCGAAATTTTGGTAAAGTATAATTTTGTAAATAAAATTTGCTTATATTGAAGTACATACCTACCTACTTAAGCAAATTCAATTTAGGTAGGTACCAAATAAAATATATCTTTTAAATGTCAACAAAAACGTAAGTTTGTTAGATTTTATTGCACTAAATTTAATTACTGCTACTACAATGGCAAAATTGAGACTCTCATATAAAGCTAGTTTTGTAGTCTTAAAAACATTACTCAATAGGCGTTACTGTTATAACACCGTGCTTTTTAAATGGAAAATTTTTAGAATGTTTATATTCAAATCAAATAAGAAATTTGTAAAGGAAGGGCTATTGAAAATTTATATAGGTGGAAAATTTAAAAAAAAATTAAAGAATAATCAAACAATCGAAAGTTTTACAAGAAAAAACCTGCATTAGTAACAAGAATTTGATCCCTGAAACACTTAATTATATATGCATTTTTTTATTGTGTATAGTTTATTTAAACTTTAGACTACAATATATAAAACATATTATGTATCTATCCATGACAGTAAATTTCAGAAGTTTACCCAATGACATACAAAATACACTTTTTCATACTATATACATAAAAACACAGAGTTAAGTAATAATGCTCTTTTCGTATATGAATAGATAGAAAATTACTTTCAAAGTATTATTCTTAAAAATAGTTTTTCGATATAAGTATACATGTACAAAACATAAACAATTTAAAAAAAAACATTAGTCTCTACGCGGTTACATACCTATCATAATTTATAAAGCGAAGCATTTTAATATAAACAAATGAATTTCGTATTACCTTGGATCAGGCAGGACAATTTTCTTGCTAGCTCTAGCTGCTGGTGTACATTTTGACTTTTCCATAGCCATTAAGTAGCTAACATCAGCTAACACAGCTTCTAGATCTGCCATTTTTATTTGAAAACTTAATATAACTATAAAAATTTAATAAAAACTGCTTATTTATTCTTAAAAATAATAAATTATTCCATAGAGTCTAAATTTTTTGCAAAAGAATATACAAAACTTTCAGCCTATATTTTTCCTTTTTCTTAAGAACTTTCAACCCAATAAACAAAAAAATTGATAACTCATAAACAGAAGTTGAAAATTAACATGAGCGTTGAATAAATGTCATTTTTTAATTTTTGAATTAAAAGTGAATCTCCATAAAGTTGAAAAAATTGTGGTTGAAAATAAATCCGAAAATGTTTATTGTATTTAATAAAAATCCTTATTATTCGGAACCTAATATTTTTGCTGGTATATATGTACTTCGTGCGCTACATACCCGATTTATCAAAACCGATTTTCTTGTAAAGAGACCTTAAATGTTATTATTTAATTCAACAATATTATTTAGTGAATAATAAATATATTGAATTTTATTGTTATTGGGTGTCGTGTTGCTATAAATCAGTTTTACTCCAATTATCCAGAAGTTGAATTATTTTATATTGCGTAACATACAGGTCTGTAATTCGTATTACGAGACCTTATTAAATTTAAACTCAAAAAGTAAAAAATAATTTGCTCCGTAACCGTGTCTTTTTTTTACGAAAACTAATCATTATTAAATTTTTTAACAAATCGTATTAATTTTAAGATATACATATTTCGACGTTGTCAAAAGTACTAAATTAATTACACAAATTTTATTTTTTAATCGAGTTATTTTAAAAATATTCTCACTCACGACGACGATTTTTTAATTTTCACATTTACAGTTTTGAGAGTTGACATTACAGAAAAAGAAAAAAGTTCAAAATAATAGATGTATCGCTATTCCTTACTAATAAATAGAAGATACGAATAATCAAATTAAGAAATACAGTTAAATATAAGTTTTATAACATTAGGAAAATGTACATAAATTTAAAAAGCAAACAGTTATTACTTTTAATAATGAAGCAAGTTCCCGCCACGAAAAAATTAATTTTGTAAATATGTAAGATTTTTAGTTTATTAAACTAGAAGCTTATGTATGCAAACGTTAAAGATGCAGAATCCTGCATATTTTATTGGCGATGTATTTTATCACGTAAGGAGTACTATATTTATATGTACAATTTATACTAGTACTATATATATTATATATATAGTATAGTACATATATTGTTATATACTATATATTATATATAGTATATGTACTATATACTATTTATACTAGTACATATAAATATAGTACTAGTACTATATTTATATGTACTATACTAGTACTATACTATATATACATGTATACTAGTACTATACTATATATACATGTATACTAGTACTATACTATATATACATATAAATATAGTACTAGTACTATATTTATATGTACTATACTAGTACTAGTGCTATATTTATATGTACTATACTAGTACTAGTACTATATTTATATGTACTATATACTTTAAGTAACCCAGCATTTACACGTACAAGTTACTTGCAAGAAAGTTGCAATACATACAAAAATTTTACTAACACATTGAAATATTTCTACTTGCTTGTTTACGTGCAGTTCAACTTGCAAGAAAATTTTGCTGCCAGTAATTTGAGCAAGTAATTTGACATATTGAGAAATTCACAAAAAAAAATTTGTTGTTTTGATTTTTTTTTTTTTTTAATTTAAAATTTTTGAATTTTGTTTTGAAAAAATTAAACTTAGCAAACTTATGGTTTCTAAAATTTATAAACAATTATATATATTGCTAGTTGTTTTCTTCTCAAAGACATTTTCAAAAATTAACTTGCTAAACGCCTACGTCATAATAGCAAGTAATTTGACATTTCGAAAAACTAATTGACAATTAATATTATACAAACTTGCATGCAAGTAACTTGTATGTGTAAATGCTGGGTAAGGATCGCATACAAATCTATACAACAAAAACTCATTATCGAACTATTATCGATCGATAAAATAGCATTTCAATATGTCAGTATTATAAAGCTCCCGTTCCTCGCTCAGGTTTGATTTAATTGTTGCTCATAATATTAGAGTTAGATTTTCACGCAAATTAGATAACAAAAAACAATTATTTCAAATTTCACATAATGTGCTTTATGGTAAATTCTTTAACGTCAAATTTTACAAAATCTGAGTTGTCTGAGTTTACGAATACTCTATTGCGTTTTCACTTTCAGTCAAAGTAAGCGTCAAAATTGTAAATTTTTTTTTTACATGCAGACAGTCTCACGTAGTAATTCAGTAAATAAATTTGATGTATTGAGTGACTATCATTACGTTAAAAATAATATAAAAAATATTTTTTTTGTTAATTTTTAATATGTAAGTATAAAATTATTTTAAATCTAAAAAAAATTTTTTTTTTGCTCTTACGTTTACGGATGATCAAAATTCAAAGTCAATTACGGGTAAAAAGTTTACTACATTTCTGTCCGTAAAAGTTTTATACGTTTGACACTTTGCAGACTGAAAACAAAATTTTGACGTTAAAGAATTTGCGGTTATGTATAAAATATTCAATCGTATTTTACATTGTTTAATTCATCGCTGAATTTTTGATCAATCATGATAGATTACAGTAGGGGGGTGATTAAATTTTAATACTTACCAAACACTTCTTTTTAAAAATCGTTTTTACTTGCATGCGTATAATTGAGACAATGATTACGATACAATCACTGAGCCTTATTCTAGTTGTCGAAGTAGAGCGACAATTGTCGTTACGACTTGAATTTGATATTCTAAGCGGCGATCGCAGTGACAATCGTCGGGGAATAGCGGGAAAATGTGTTTCAGCCACATTCCAGTTGTCTTTCTGATGCGAGATATGTCGTAGTGAAACGACGTTTTTTGTCGAAAAGTATTTACAAGTGACAAGAAAGAAGGATACACCAAAAATGCAAGTTAAAACAAAACAATTTAACAAAATCATAAAAAAATTAATTTTATACATAAATCAAGTCATAAAATATACAATTTAATTTTTGTTTTTAGCATTTATAAATTTGAAGAATTGGAAATTTCATGACAGGGCACGGCTTCTACGGGTACTCGTTTTCTCTCGAATATATTCAGTAAATATACAAAGGCCTCCTATGGAAGTCTGTGATAGTTTATAAATCTGTGAATAAAATAAAATGTTTGCAACTAATTTACAAAAATTAGTTTTTGTAAATTAGTTGCAAACATTTAATTTTTTAATAGAAAAAATTTGGCAAATCCATTGGATTAGAGTTGTTGCTAATCTTAAATCTTTCGATCCTTAATTGTTGTTTTTTTTTTAATTTCATCACTACCGGAATGAGATGAATTCGTAAACCATAATGCAAATGACATTTTTTATTATTTAAAAATATAAGTATATACATTGAAAATTTTTTCTAGTTTGTATTTTACTCGCCGAAATTTCTTTTTAAAATGTATCAATTTCACTTGAAACGTTTCATTTTCGTTTATTTCTCGCAGTCACGTCACTCGACAACTAGAATACCACATTTCAAGTGATGTGACAGCGACAACGACAAATGTCACGTAAGTGACGCGACAACTAGAATAAGGCTCACTATGTTCTTTTTTCTTCATTTATTTCTACATACATATGTACACCTGCCTACTGTAAACTGTTACTGTTACTAAAGTAAGCGATAAGTAGAACTTTACGTAAATATAATAGGGTACACAAGGCTAAACTTTCAATGGTGTGCTTATACAGGAGTAAGAGTAAATTATGAAATCTGGAATTAAGGAAAATTTTGCTTAGTTTAGTCTAGGGCATCAGTAGCAGGTCTTTTCTCGAAACAAAAATTAACAATCGATTACATTTTTGCGCATATACATCTGCATATGTAGTCGTTCACACTCATGAAGTGTTCTTTTTTTAGTTAAATTGAAAATGCGTATGCCTTTTTTCATTAAACATATCGCACATTTGCGAGAAAAATGACATAAGTCAAAATGTAGAATCGTAAATTTGCTCTTATTACTATTAAACTTTAATATATAAAAATTTTTTGTAAAAAAATTAAACAGAAAATTTGTTCACATAATTATAGAATAATTCTTTACTAACGTTTTTTAACCTTTGTTAGTAATTTACACTCGGCTATAAATACTTCAAATTCCGGAAGTCGAAGTTATATTTTTGAGTTGTGTCATTATTTTTCCAAATGTGCGATATGTAGGTAGGTACATACAAAAATTTGTAAAGGTAGTTTGATGACAGTGCCGTACGGTAGTATTGTGAGCTCCAAACAAATTTCGCATACACATTAGTATGCACATTTTAAAAATAAATTTTATTTGCAATTTATATATTTAAATTTCAAAATATAAGGATTTATAATTTCCACCATTAATTTTGCCTTTGATACATTTTAAAATCATTTATAATTTTTAATTTTCATTATTATGGATAGTTAAAAAAACGAAGTATGTAGGTATGTTATTTGTTACTTTCTGAATTTTGACCAATTAAATTTGCTATACTAAATCCTCTTGAATTTCGAGTTCTTTGTTTTGGATGGTTAAAATTTAAAATGGTTTTGCCCTCTATATCTAATTCAATTGATTTGTTTTGTGACGTTATATCTTGATTCTCATCCAAGAGTAAATTAGTAGCATTGCTTTTTCTGCATTCGGATATTAATTCAATTAAACTGTCTTTCGAGTCATTTTCATGTTTTTTTGATTGTATCATTTTTAAATTTGAACATTCTTCGCCGTTGTATAATAACTGCGATTTATTGTTTGCATTTTGATCGCTACTCGAATAACAAGTATTTGCATTGAGCTCTGGAGTTTCATGATAATCCTGCTTAAAAATTGATTCCAGTGCATGGCATCCATCATTAGTTAACAAATTAGATTTTTGAAATACTGTAAATATGTCTTTTTCGTGAGTTTTTCCATAGCCACTATAATCCAAATCTGTTTTTAAATTATTTTGCAGCATTTCTAATTTTAAGTGATCTGTATAAATATTTGAAGAACTCAAAACTTCATCCATTATAAGCAATTGAGATTTTTGGTTACAGTTGGGGGGAATCATTGTCGATAAGAATTTTTTTTGAAAATTGTAGAAATTATCTTTAATATTATCACAATATTCAGAATAAACATGAACAGGAAAAAATGGTTTAGGCTTCTGGATCCAAAAGGCTGAAAAAGGTGAAAAAATAGGCGAACTGGAATTTGGATAATTTAATGATGTGCGTTTATAACGTTTTCTTCTTCTTAAAAAACTGCCATTATCAAACATATCTTCTGCTAGCGGATCCAATGTCCAAAAATTTCCTTTTCCAGGATTTCCTGGTTCCCTGGATACTTTGATAAAACAATCATTTAAGCTTAAGTTGTGTCTAATTGAATTTTGCCAAGCAGGGAATTTTTCTTTGTAATAAGGAAATCTGCAAAAAAAAAATAAAAGTAAATTAACATCAAATTATTCGTATTTTTTCCTAATATAAGAGCAAAAACTAACCTATAAATGTAAATATTAAGGATTTAACACGTTCACTTTTTTATTTAAAGCAAAATCGAAAATATTATCTACGTAATTTCCCCTCCTTATATTTTAATATTTTACTTGCTCTACCTTTACTTTTAAGTTCCGCTCCTGTACTCTTACTTGGTAGGGGAATTTAAATTTATGAAAGGTAATTGGAATGACCATCCCTGAATAAATTTATCACTAAAAATTATTTTCATAAACATAGAAAACAAAAAGAAAAATTGTAGATAAATAAGATACTATTGTGAATAGGAAATTTCTAAAAAAAAGGATGTTTTTGTTAAAGCACATTTCAAATATTCACAATTTCCTCTTTGTTGCACATTATTTAGATACATATATACATAATGTTATAGTGAATAATTTTCATAGCGAAACAGAAATACATATGAATATCCCATTCATATTGTTTCGGGTTTTCTGTTTGACAAGTGACAAATAATTTAGTTTAATTTGCTTGCAATTGTAGAATATTTTGAAATTAATCGCTTTTTAATTTTTACTTAAAAAATAGTATTAATATCAATATTTGAATTTTCTTGATTAATTAAAAGGAATCCAAAATATTAAATAACCTTAAAAGGGTGTCTAAGTATTTGAAAGTGTATTTGGCTGAAAAAATTTACCTTAAGGTAAAAACATTGCAAAAGAAGAAACCGGTGTTGAGTTGGTGGGTACGTATTAATTAATAAAAAATTAGGGTAAAAATTGTGTTCTTATAAATATTTTTTTAGCTTGAATTTTAATACAGAAAAATGTTTTTAAAGCCTTTTAATGCCAAGGCTAATCTTCATATGAAGGCATCTGAAGTAAAAAAATTTAAAAGTAAAATTGAATCTATTTACTCTGATCTAACAAAAGATGACCTAACAAACTTATTTACACCAAAAGTAATAATTACAGTAACTAAGATAATCACTAATTCTGGAGAAAATTTAAATGTATATTGTTTTGACAAAAGACCAATGTTTTTTGAGAATAAAAATGAAATAATTCCTACTATATATACGTGCTGGGTAGCTTGCAACATTGTCCCATATTTTACTACATTTGATGATGTATTACCTAGACTTTTGAATGGTGCAGATTTAATGCTTCCAGGAGTATTGAAACAAGGAAGTGGACTAAAAATGTATGGTAATTATGAGAAGGGGCGCATTGTTGCTGTAAATTTAGTATCAAATAAATTTGCATGTGCTATTGGATATTTAGCCAGATCAAGTGAAGACCTTTATATGTCTGGAGGTCACGGACCATGCGTCAAAGTTCTTAACATTTTTGGTGATTGTCTTTGGAATATGGAACCCTCTGTAGCTCTACAAATCCCTAGCAATACCGAAGAAAAGATCTCACCGCAAGATGAAAATAACGAGCCTCCTTTACAGACCCAAAGTGATGAGAACCCGTCGTGCGAAGTAACACCAAGCAGTCCAATTGTTTTAGAGGAAAACGTTAACAATTCCGATGAGATTTCATTAAATGATATTACGTCTCTTGAAGAAGTTAACCAACAAAATTCAACAACTGAGAAAACAATGGATGAAATATTACAAGAAGCTTTTTTCATAGCTCTGAAACAAAAAGCAAAAAATTTAGATTTACCAATCTTATTTAGTAATTTTTATAGGAACGGAATAATAGAAGCAGCAACTAAACCGATAAATTTAAAGGAAACAACTTATAAGAAGCTCTCCAATTTTCTATTTGAAATGTCAAAAAAAGGTTACATAGGTATAAAAAAGGATACCAAAGGAGTAGAAAAAATTATTTCAATAAACTATTCTCATGAAGATATCCTTAATTTTATATTACCATCATTATGTATTTCAAATGACAAAAGTGACCAAGGATCTAATCCACTTTTCACAAGTGAAATGCAAGAACTGTATATAATTTCGGAAGAAACTATACCATTGTTTACAAAATTTAATTATAACATTGGCCAGCGGCTTACATCGACTCAAATAAAAAAAATTGTAAGAGAATATGTTAGTAAAAACAATTTACCATATAATGATGCTTCAAAAACTAATATAAAGTTAGACGAATGTTTAATTAAAATAGTTGGAAAAGAAATTATTTCTGTTGGTGAGCTATTTAGAATTCTTATTTCAAAAATGACACGCACACATGAAATGGTTGAAAAAACGGGCGTTAATACGAATAAATCACCAATTCAAATTCAAGTTGCTTCAAGAATGGGCAATAAAAAGGTAACAATAATTTCAAACTTAGAATTAAATGGAATAATTCTTTCAGAATTAGAAAAAATATGTAAGCAAAGTGCAGCTGCTAGTACAACTATTATTAAATCGCCAAAACCAAAGCAAAATCAGTTACAAATTCAAGGTAATCAAATTAAATTAGTTTCAAAAATATTAACGGAACAATATAAGGTTCCTTCGGGCCACATTCAATGTGTAGATTTAAAGAAAAAAAGTAAAAAATAATGTTATCTGGCAGAGATAAAATAAAAGGAATTCAAAATCAATCATTAATTTTCTTATTTTATATAAAAATGTAAAAGATTTAATAATCGACGTCAAAATGAAAGGATTGAATAATTAATTTCTGATATATTTATTTCTTTTTAATCTTATTAATTTTGGTGAAGATTCGTAAGAATAAAACCTTTATAGTTCTTATTTGGCTATAGGTTAGCCATTCTATTTCGGTTATAAAGGAAAAGTAATACAAAATAAAACTTAAGAAAGTTCGACTTTGAGGCTAAAACTTCAGGAGATATAAGAAAAATTAAATGTGCTCCAAACTCTTTAATAAAACTCTCTCTGTACAGGAATGATTCAAAAAACGTTTTCTTGGATTTTGCTATAAAACTTAAATAAGCTTAAAAATAATAAATAACTTGAACTTGAAAAATTTTGAATTTATTAAGTTGCAGTTAATTAATAAAATATTTTTTAATTTATTCTCAAAAAATGGTGTTTCACGAACAAAATTTTTTATACAAAATATCCATCGCAATAATTGCGATTTTATTATCAATTGGAATTTGAGTGGATCAATTATTAACATTCATCATTAGGCAAACCAGCAAATTCAACATTTTTTTTCATTAAAATTTTCCCAATGTGTCCAATAATGTAACAAGAAACGATTTGTTCAACCCGTATCTGTTCGTTTTATAGTGCGCCTTCTATTTATATTAAATAATTTTAATTGATATTGAACCAACCAAAAGAATTAAAATTTGATCTTATATTTCCGTGCGAAATTTATATTAATTTTGTGTAACATATTATGTAACATCTGTAAAATATTTTTAGAATCATGTTAGAATCGTTATTACAAATTTCTCATATCTATTAATTTCCAACGCCGTCGGAGTTTTTGTGTAAAATACCCGGTAGTTTCATTTAAAAACCGTAAGAATGTTGTAATGTAGTAAAAAAATTTGAAATTTTAGTTTAAGTTGAAGAGATAAGAAAAATTTTTATTTTGGGCACGAATTTATTTCTTTTTCTGAAATTAAATTTAGTTCTGTTGAAGAACAAAAATTTGCAATGATTTGAATGTGAAAAATTTTTAAACTTGAGAAATTAAGTTTTCAATAAGAGTATAGACCGCAATCAGTGTATAGATGTATACAACTACGCTGCAATTAGATTTATCCAAAAAGCCATATTAGTGCCGACGCAACTTTAGATATTACGAACTTTATTGCAAAACGGATTTATTATTACCAACTAGACTAAAGTATGATAAAAGATTTCCAATTATGAATGTAAATTTATAGAAATAATTTAGAGATCATAGATTCTTTGCATACTTTTGTATTGCATTTATGATCAAGACGGTATTATTTTGTTATGGTTGGATGACACAAAGAAGTATCAAATTACTTGTCGATGAAAAGGCTTACCCCACTGTACCGTAAAGAACATATAACCTAAGTTAAGATTGTTACTTTTTAAGTTTGAAAATAAAAAATAACTATTTAGCGCAATACATGTAAATATTTGTTGCTGAATTAAGTCTCTGCGTATTATTTCATACGCAGAATGCACAGCACAAGACAAACTGTATTGAACAGAGAAATGGTCGATTATACTGTTTCAAATATAGGTAATCAACATAAATTTACATACAATAAAATTGGGTCAAACCAATGGTTTGTATTGTAGCACTTTTCCCTTCAACAAGTGAAAATACTGCTTTTAAAAACAGTCTATGTATATCCACCACACTATTAAAATTATTTTCATTTATAAACGAAACTATTTCTAGCATTGCATATATTTAGGATGAACCATTTATGCAGTCTTTGAAATAAAGCAAAAATTAATATAAACAGGGGTTAACATAATGCTCGATTTTAAGGGTTAATTGCGTGAGTTAAGAAAAATAATTATATTTTTTTAATGTCGTGGAATTTACCGTTAGCTTTTTGTGTTTATAGAAATTTGTAAAAGCTTGCGGTTTCGGAAATATAAGGTGTCAAAAACGCAAATTTTACAAATTTCAAGAGACCATAACTTGAGAGGGGGTGGAGATGGAAAAAAATTCTAAGGAAATAAACTACTTGTTAATGTCTAAAAGCCCCTAAAATTTCAAGCTTCTACAGGCTGGGGTCTAGAAGAAAAACGACATCAAAAATTTGGAAAAAAAGGACTGTAGATAACGGTAAATTTGAACGGCCATTTTATTTTTCTAAAGTTTAACTATAGTATACCGCGGTAGGGGAGGCAAGCCACTGCCTTTCTGCGTTTGTAAAATTTCAAAAATGCTTATGGTTTCATTGCAACAAATAGTTAAAAAAGGCCATTTTTAGTGCTTTGGGGGGGTATAACTTCTAGAGGGGGGGAGATAGGTAAAAATTTTGTTCTACAAAAATAAGTTTCTAGTAAAGATCTATGTACATATTAAATTTCAGCTTTCTATCTTTAAGAATGTAGAAGTTTTGTAAACAGACACACGGACAGACGGACGGACGGACGGACGGACGGACGGACGGACGAACAGAGTGAAGCTAATAAGCACTTTTTTTCAAAAAATTTTTGGAAAAGTGCTAAAAAGATAACGACCTACTTATTCGATTATAAAACAACTCTTCTTAAAGGTACCTGTACAAATGTACAAAGTTCACATATATATGTGAAATTGAAGCAGGAAGTGACTAAATTTATTCTTGTATCAAAGAAAAAACAATATCCGCAATTCCATTGAAAAAGCGAAATTATATTCAAAACTAGAAAAAAAATTAGTGGTGAAAAGAACGACAGGATTTCTACCTTACTTAAGCCTAATGGTGATTTAACTAGTTTATTGAAGAAATAATTATATATTAAAATAGTATTAATAATACTCCAAACGTACAGTATATAATACAATAAACCAAAAGTATGTATTTATAGCGTCAGCAACAGAAAATAGTTCAGATTGTTAAAAATAGAATGCTACATCAAGGGCTGATGGAAAAGCTGATCACATTCAGCCCCTAATACATATTGTTAAGATACGTCTACGTAACATGACAAATTCGTGTCTGACGCTGCACTTTATACAAATAAAGGTGGAGAAGAAACAGATTGTGGAAACTATAGACCAGTATCTCTTCCAAATGCAATAAGTAATATCATGAGGTTAGTAAAAAATAAAATCGAATGCCTTTTCATCTGCGACCAATATCTTAGCTTAAAAGTGTTCTTAAATGTAAGAAAATGATAATACCAAAACTTGATACTATCATGATAAATTATTTTTGTCATTGATGAATCTTTAAAAATTCAAAATTTCTAAACTCATTATTTAATTGTAGCATTAACCTCACGATATGATGAGAAAACACAATCAATAAACGTGTTCGGGTCTTTTTCGTATCATGTTTCGATTGCACTAGATTTATTTATGATGCTTTAAATGAAGGTTTTTTAACTTAATCAAAGGAACGAAGGTTTTTTGTTACGTTAGTGTTTATAGATTTGAGCATACAATGTGGTGAATCATAGTCAACTTCTAGATTTCCTTGAAGACTTGTGGACCCGTATCAAGAACACAACAAGTGTTTAACTACTAACTTATAAGTAAGGAAGCACCACAATATTCAACAAACAAAAACAAATTTGTTTGCTAAAATTTAAAACTTGCTAGAGAATACTGTAATATTAAAGCAATACTGGATTTTATAGGCCGCTTTGTGAGGCGGTACATACATATTGTCTAAATTTTTATTAAATTTGCCATTTCCTAATTTTTATATGAAAAAAGAATAATTCCATTTACATAAAGTAGGAATAGTTAGTAATTTAATAGAAACTATGAAGTTTTAGGTTTTGAAAGAAATAAAGTAAGGCATTGCGATAATTTTTATATCTTTAACAACTTATTGTATAAAAAAAAAATTAAAATTAAATCGAGAACTCTACTCCTACAAAACATTCTGATTATTAAAATTTCTATGAAATAAAATCTTAATGAGAAAAAGGCCGATTTCAGTTGTCGTCCAAATTTTTCTAGACTTCCTTGCTTGTCTGCTAACCATCAGTGATTGAGTATAATGTTTAATGATATAAAATTATTTAATAAATTTCAAAAGCAACCTTAGCAACAGAATGAGTTAAAAAATGAGAGAAATTAAAAATCTGAATTTATTTCCAATCCTAAAAGTTATTGAAAAAAAAATTATAAATGTTATCCAGTGATATGAGAGGATTAAATCAAGTAAACATCTGCATTCGATCTAAATTTTGCACTAATTTTTAATAAATAAATTTTCTAATAATTTGCTAAATGTTCAAAAACAATATTTTCAAGGCAAAATTAAACCAAATAACTAAATAATTTTTATATAAATCACATACGTTCTGTACAACGCGTTATTGACAAGGTATTTTGTTCCTTCTTACTGTTTGAAGGCGAGCATTCACTTTTATCACAGTTAGTGTATTGTAATTACATTAATTTCTCTTAATTTGTGAAATTGAAATCAAAAACTGTCGATCAACAATGTTCTAAAATAATGCACACTAGGTCCTCGAGATATATGTATCACGTTTTTAATACCAAAAATTTAAGGTATGTATATGCGAAGGTATTATTAAAAGACGTCTCTAATAGTTTTTTATTTGAAGTGGTCTTATGTAAAGTGGTTTTTTGTAGCAGATTTATGTTGTAGGACAAAAGGAAAAAAGTTTCCAAACACGAAATTTCACAAGTTGAAAAAAAATTAATTAAATTAAATCGTGTTGTAACTCGAAATGACGTATTAGAAGACGTTGTTCCTCGAGGAGTCAGTGTAACTGTAAATATTTGGATGTTCAACTACGGAAATCGCATATAGTATAAGTGTATAAGTTTCTAACAATTTATTTTTTAATTATTTTATTTCTTTCGAATTAATATCTTAACAAAAAATAATGAAAGATCAAAAGGTAATAAAATTATAAAACATTTTGAAAGTGGTTTAAACATAATTTAAAATGAATATAAATTGTATAATAATTTTTGTGTATAACAGTATACATAATATTTTTTTTTGAAAATAATGTGTAATAAAAAAATTTCAATTATCCACTTCATGTATAGTTAAATTAATTCTGTTTTTCTGTTTTGTTTTTCAAATCAATATTATATAAATAATTATTATTATTATATATAAAATGTCCATAAAGAAATTTGAAACGAAAAAACAAAAATTCATCTTCAATTTACCTCTTCATTATAAAGTCACATATTCCACTTAAAGTTAATTTTTTTTGTGGTGATTGAAGTATGGCCATTGTTATTAACGCAATATATGAATACGGTGGTTTAACTAAATTTTCTTGTGATTTCTCTTCATTTACATTGGATTCAACATTGGAAGTAGATGTAGTAGAAAATGGTGATTGAGAATTAAAGGAATTACGTAAAACAGTAGAGGTGGAAAAAGTTTCCATTATATTATATCCATATGTATGTGTGTATTAATGTACCCATATATATATATATAATATTATGCGTTTGAAAATAGTAATGACAATAGTAATAATACAACCATTTAAACATATATATGATATATATTTATGTAAATATATATATATTTTTTTTTAAATAACTTATTTGATTTTTATATTATTTTCTTTTTCTTTTTGATAATGTATATGTACATATATGTATGTATATGTATATTATATATTATAAATGTTTTTGGAATAGATTTTGTTATATTCAAAATATAATAAAATTTTCCAATTCACTATTCCAAAATTTTTAATATTTTTAAATTAATTTTCATATTTAATATTTATTTTAAATTCATTTTAATTTCTTAATCATACATTTAACTTATATTTAATAAAATTTTTGTTTTGTTTTTTTTTTGTATTTATTTCGTTCACGCATTTGTTTTAAAATAATTTTTAATTATTTTTTCTCTGATATCATATATAATTTTTTTTTTATTTATTTAATATTTTTATACTTATAAGATTTTATATACATATATTATGTATATACCATTAAATAATAATAATAAGAAACAGACATACACAATTAAGTTACGTGTTTGTTTAACCGAGTTCTGTTGTCAACTAGTTTTCCGGTGAATTGTTATTTTTCGAATGTAGCAGGAAGCTCAATTTTTGGTATATACGTGTTTACCTACACTTTATATGCATGTATGTATGTATCTATATATAGAGAATAAGGATATAAAATTCAATTAATATTATAATGTAGTATTGAAACAATATGACTTCTTTGTGCGAAGGAGTAAACTTTAAAATTGACGCAAATAAATACAAGGATAAGTATGTTTATAACCATTGATATATATGTATATATTATGATTTTGTGGTACATACATACATGATTATATATATAATAAAATATATTTGTTGTACATTATTATGATGTACGTATAAAAATATAAAAAGAAATATGAAAATATAAAGAAAATTATGTACTCTATTTGGCATATATTTACACAAACATAACAAGATATATAAGTATGTATATGACATATACATATATTAATTTACATGAGTATATAAATATATATGGGATATATCATATTATATATATGTTTGTGTTTGTGTGTCAGTAATAATGTTTATCTGCACATAAACACAAATAAATAAATCACACAAATACTTATTTAGACTAAGTAAATTTCTAATAAGGGGAAACAAAATATCCAAACCAATTTCACTGTATATGCATTCAAATATTCAGATTTAGTATATAGGCATATATATATAATGTAAAAGATATCCTCTAGCGGTTTATACATGTTTTTTATTAAAAAATAATAGAAGAACTGAAAGAAAAAAAAAAGATAAAAACAAATAGTAGAAAATATACAAAAGGAGGCAGGAAAAGTTTAAATGAGAACAATAAAATTTTTTACATTTGTAACGTTATAGATCAATAATAATATGGAATCAGATATAGATTGAATATATATGTATGTATATAGGTATAAATAAAAAGGACTTAAAGTACTAGAGGTGTTTTGTAATTGGATGAATGAATATAGCTAAGCAGTTGTCAGACAAATTTCATTTAATAACTTAGTTTTTTTGTATGTTTTTTTGTGTTTTTTTTTTGTTTTAATAAAAGGGAATGTTTGTTACATTAAATAAATGTTTTTTATTATAGAAAAAAGTCTGCGTTTAGAAAATATTATTCAATATTGTTTTTGTAACTATCACATACAAAAGGGAAGGAAGAAAAAAAAAAACAATATTTTGTCCCATAAAAATTGGAAACTGTTTTGCAAAAATATATCCGAATTTTTGTTTCATTATTATTATTATTATTATTATTATTATTATTATTATTATTATTATTATCGCAATCTATTCTAATATTCTTTATAACTTCTATGAGTATAACACTTGTGTATAACACATGTATATTATGGTTTTATACATCTAGTGTGTGCATATATATATATATATATATATATATATATATAAATCTCAGAATCTGAAATGGAAATGAAAAATTTAGAAATAGCTTTCATCGCCAAATTATTTTTCAAATAATCATGCTAATTCCGAAATTAGATATGTAATAATATGTTATATAAGTATTTGTGTATATTTTGCTATGAGTTGTTAAAACCAAACTGCACAATCTGTCCAAGAAGAAACAACGCAAAAAAAAGACGGAAAATTTAAACAATGTGCAATGCTCATGAAGGTGGCAATTCAAAAGGGAAGAAACTTTTAAAAATGGATAAAGTTAGTCCTTCTGAAGCTGCCAAAACTTGATAGCAATATATGTATGACAGTGGCCTTTCAGTAAAAATTTTCTTTTGTCAGGTGTACTATGAGACAACATTAAGATTCTCGCTTAGACGATCAATGACGATCTGAAAATAATGTCAACTTAAATGTAACATTCCGAAAACAAAGACAACCGAAGACAATTGTTATATAAGATATATTTTTGGAAGGTGGGATTACTCGATATTTAACAACAGGGAAACTGCATTTTATAGTGCCTCATCTTCAACGCTTCCAATTCACATGAGCAGCATCACACTGTTGTTAGGGTTCGAAACCACATGGATAAAACAAAATGCACTAACCTAAAAGATACAAACAAGATATAAGTGATGATTACACAAGAAAATAGTCTTGCAAGTCATGAAATTGAAGCCACGCGATTTCATATAATAAAGCATTTACATATATCACAGTAAATGTGGTAATCAGTGGATAATTGAAGATATATTGTTGCGAAAACACGGTAGTTTGGAAATATTAGAACAGACACGTGAAATGCTTGTCGGACAATTTCAGAACGGAAACCACATCAAACCGCCGAAAGTGAAGAGCCCTAGCAGAAGCCGCAATGACGAGTTCAAATTAGTTTGAAATAGTATCTCAAAAACGCAGGGCCTGTGTAGGAGTTAAACGCAACGTTTCCTCTATTCACGTTAATGCTATGCTTTAGTCAGCGCAGGCCAACATACCAGAAAACCTTTTGTTACTAACCCCCAGTCAGCGCTCCCAACAGAAACGAGATAAAGAGCTCTCTGGGTCAACCCATTGAGGGCGTAGAGGTACTTCACTAAGACAGCTAGCACCAAGCAGACGTTGGAGCGATCACTTTACAGCTTTCCTCTTCCAGGCATAGCAAAAGTTGATTCGCTACAAGATCATAAAAAAGAAGAGAGGGCTCACCCTCCTTGGGAGTGCCTCTTTCAACAGATCACTTTATATACGACACATGAAGCGATGGGCTTACCAGCGTAACACCCATCGCTTGCGAAGTGATGTTATTGAAGGTCCCTCGAATATTCAAAAGAGCAACCATTGTGTAATCCCTTCTATCCAGGGATCTATCTCTGTCGACCTTCCTTTGCAGTAGGAATTTTTGACAACTTCGATATTTAAATCCAAAATTATCGAAAGTTCACCATTACTGATTTTAATATAAATGTGAATTTGATGAATGTTATTCATCCTTGATTAATGTTTTAAAATCACAAATAAATGATTGATGTCATTTTTTGCTAACGCATTTTAGATGAATAAAAATTTTTCATATTTATACCTATTCAGGTCTATTTATGATATGCATATATGTACACATATATATATATTAATTTATGTATGTGTATTTTTTATGCATTAAAATAAAAAACTGAAAGATCTATTAAATTTAAAATTAAAGGAAAAACATACATACATGTATACAAACACATGTACCATATAAAACAAACCTAATTTCGTAAAATGAATTTCTTTTACAAACATTTGTAACAAAGTAAATATTTATTTGCATTTGTACATGTGTATGTATATACATAATATATAAATGTGTTATGGTTTCCTTTGATATTTGACTTTTTTCACATATCTGAAAACTTTTTCTTAACAGATTTCGTAATGCTTGAGACTTTAGAATTTAAACAAAACGCAATTTTATCAAAGGTGAAATAAATATGTAAGTTTTTTTTACAATTTCTAAAAAAAAATTTGTCATATTTTCAAATTTTCAATGTCGTTTGCATACTTATAGGGGTAAACAAAGATTGCTAAAATTTTTTCTTAATGAAAATTTTATTGAGTTTCAAATTAGAATTATTCGCGGTTTTTTTTAGAACCGTTAATTTTCTGAAATGTCTATATTTCGATACATATACTTTTGCAGAACTGGAAATCAAATTACTGACGGTCAGAATTACTAGGCACGTATGTATATAAGTGTTTTTAATATTGTTATACTGTTTTTTATTTCAAATAATTTTTGTCATCCGCTTAATATACCGAAATTTTGTTTTATAACATATTTGAGCTTGAATCAAGTTTTACAATGTTTGAGAGCACTTTATATATTCGTAATTCTGTGTATTATTTAATAATAATATTATTTAAATGTGGCATTTATACGTACACATACATAAATGCATATATGATGCACTTAAATTTATAAAAAGAAATAAAATATATAAAAAAAAAATTCATTTATTTATATAAAAGCTTATGTGCATAAACATAATATTGAGTTTAATAACCATGTTTGCATTTTAACGTAAAATTTAATTAAGTTTTCAAAAGTGTTACTCTTAATGTCATTCATAAAATTATAACATTCATAAAAATCACTTTACCATAAACTAAATTTTCGTATATATAAAATAAGAAAATCATTATTACTTTGGGCAAATTAACAAAATTTAAGTACATATATATTATGACTTTCGTACAATTGCATATCTCTGTATACCATTGTATTACATTACATTGTTTATAATGTACACAAACACGACATCTACATATATAATTACATAAACTTATTTGAAGTTAAGTTACATATGTACAAATATAAAAGTTCTGAGTCCTTTTTTTTCTGTTTGTTTTTATAAAAAGATATTTTTTGTTGTATAAAAGTGAAAACTATATTTGCCGCCCCAATAGAAAAAGTAAAAATTAATTTATACATTCAAACATACATGTATTAATGTGTGTGTAACTAAGAAAATTTGAAGGGGAAAAAATGAATAATATTTTTTTTTTCTGTAATACTACTACAATAATATTATTTTTCAGTTATTTTATTGGCTCTTACAAAATTAATTTTATAATACTTACTTTTTGTTAACACCTAC